GGGGACGCCCCCCCTCCTTCCCCCCCTCCTTCCCGCGCTGGTTCGGAGGTTGGCGGCGGGCGACCGCCGGCTCGGGAAGAGCCCGGTCTGAAAAAGCCCCTTCGTCGGCTCCAGCTCTTCAGGAGCAAAGGGCGCTTTCCGAGCAGGGTGTGAGGGCTGCTCACAGCGGGCGGGGGTAGAGGGTGGCATCTGATGGGCCCTAGGTGGGAGAAGCAAGCAGGCGTGCTGTCGCGGCCTTTCAGGCCTCGGCTGGAGCCCTTCTGAGGGGAGTGCGGGTCGGAGCTTTGCGTTTTTAACTCCTTTCTGCGGTGCCGTGGCTGGGACGCCTTCCCCTCCCGGCACTCGCGAAGCTGCCGCCTTGCGCGCCGAGAGCTCGTGCGTAGGGCCTGGGGCCTCGGCGTAGCCCGGAGTCGCTTGTGCTCGGTGGCGGCGTGGCCACGGCTCCTGGCCTGGGTTTGCGTTCCAGGTGCGCTGACCCCATCCGTAGCGGTACGGTTCTGCGCGCCCCTCGGGAGCGCGCTCGTTCTAGCTGCGGTTCCGATACCTCTACCGGTCATGTCTTAGCAGGGGAGCCAAGTCTGCCATCTGGCTGAACCCTAAGCCTCCTGACTAATTTCTGACTCTTTTTTCTGCTTCGCTGTTACGGCCGTTGTCATTTGCCTGTGAACCCTAACCTACAAATCAAACCGTGCCATGTCCTGAAGCCGCTCGGGTTGTGCAACGTTGATTTTTCTGCGTGAGGCTGAAGACCATTGCACCACATTCTTAGACAAACATAAGAGGCATATTGCAAAGATAGAGTGAAATATGTGTGCAGGGCCCAAGGCAGGCTTTTAATCCCCGGGTTCTCCTCAAAAGAAAAAAAAAAAAAAAAAAAATCATTTGTCCCACCAGCCTTGACACTACACTGAATGCTTGGGTCAGTATCTGCGAGTCCCTCTAGCAGGTTGTAGTTGTACAAAACAAACTGGACAAGGTGCTAGAGTTTGAAGATATTTGCTCTTTCATTTATAAATATATTTTTGTGGTTTCCACTGACATAGGATCCCTCTGTCCTTGAGGGAAGAGCTAGGACTTGATCCTTTTGACTTTAAAAAACAATAAAACAATAGTGGAGTTGTCTGTATCTAACACGTCACTCAACTTTCTCGTAAAGCTGACTGTACCTTAGTGTGTTCCTTTCCTCTCCACCCCTTGTTTCCTGACTTAGCTTGATCAGCTTTTAATAGGAAATTATTTTTGGTAACTCCAATCTAGCAGAGGAATTCCCTGCATCAGGAATTGGTTTGTCTGGTTTCCGAGGACAGCTGCAGCAAAAAGGGGTCTTTCTAGGGGCCCTGAACGTAGGCTGGCCTGTTTGAGTCTGTGGCCTTTGTGTATGTGTGTGTGTGGGGAGCAAGAAAAAACAAGCTTTCATCAATAGGGCCAGAAATGGAAGGGTTTACACTCTGTTTATCTGGCTTTTTTTTTTTAATCATGCTGGCTTTTGTTTCCTAGTACTTCTCGTTAACAGAAACCTCAGCCTGCACTGGAGCCCAGACTCACTGCTTCATAAGCAGACATAGTTTAAAGATGATATTGACTGGTTTTATTGAAATGTAGGTGAAATGGCATCAATGTTAAATAACTCCCGAAGACTTGGACTCCTGTTAAGTGACTGGTGGAGCTAACGAAAGTCCTGCTTTATTAATCTGTTTGTTTGTTTGTTTTCTCTGACTTTTTACATCTGATAGAACTAGGCAGCAGTGTGAGGTGATTGATCTTGAATCCTGAAGAAACTCCTGTTCAGAGCTGCAAAATATGGCTTGTATAGCTGGCTGTGCTAATGGCTGAGGTGAACCCAGTTAGCTCAAGTCCTGCCCGTGAGCTGTGCCCCTAATGCTCTTCCTTCTGTATCAGGGTGTATGTTTTAGCTTTTTTCCTTATGTTTTGCCTTTTGTGAATGACAACTTGGCTTAAGTAATTGGAAAGAAAACTGTTCAACAGGACTGGTATTTTCTGTCCTCGCAAAAAAAAAAAAAATCTTGGCAGTGCTGTCATATATACCACTCAAGTAATTATTCTATGTGCTAGTTTTCAAATGTGTGAGAGGGAACAGGATGTAACTAGCTCCTAAAGCATCATCTCTTGAATCCTGAGCATTGCGCCTTGTTACATCAGGGTGCCCTGTGGAGTCACCAGCCCTGAGGCAGATGAGCAGGCTTCGTATCTGAGGAAGAGACTGGAGTGATTCAGAATGGGAGCTGGCCATGGACCAGTGGGGTGATTGGGGGACTATTACCTTAGTCAGTGAAGAGATTAACAAACATACCCTGTCCTAGAATGCTTCCCTTCTGTGGACCTTCAATACCTTTGTCAGTGCTACTCTGTCACCTTGTCCTCTTCCCTGGTCTTGACCCTTCTCCAGGAGGAAGGTGCTTATTAGCTCTTTAATTCGAAACAGAAAACCATACTGACCGCTCATCCTCACCAGCTTCGTTACAGGAAGGAGAGAGATTTCCACCAGCCATGTGTGTATATATATGGAAACTGTTGAAAGCCAGGCACCTAGTGTTTAGGCAGCACTACCAAGAAAGTATTAGCTTGAGCTAGAATAAAACTGTTCAACATCCCCCTCCTTTAAAAATGTAAAAGCTCCAGTAATGCTGAGGAGTTTTTGAGGAAGGTAAGCTTTAGTGTACAGAGGAAAGGCAATAGCCCAAAGCCCTGTAGAAGAGCAGTTCGGAATGAGAGCAGGAAATAAATTAATTGCTGCAACTCTGGCCAGTCACAAAAATGACTTTTCTGTGCATCCCAAAAATATGCTTAAAGACTAGATAAGAGGTTTGGAAAAGATAGTTATTCTCCCTGGTCAATGTGAACTTGCACGAAAGGTGTGACTGGGACATTATTAATTGAGTAACTTTATACCGTTTCATCATTTTTCTAGGAATTCCTGTATCCACTCTCTGGCTGCAGAAGGAGACTGCCAGTACACTCCCTCCCACTCTGTGACAGTGTCTGAGAATAGGTTTTCCTACATAAAGCTGACCTTTTACACCTATGTGAGAGAACAAAACGGGGACGCATCCCTTTCCCACTCCTGTGCAATTCAGTATTAAGGAGCAAAAGGTACACAGGGGATAAAGTCCAGACATGTGGGAGACAAAATGTTGTCTCCCTTTAAAACACTTGTTAGAAATCAGTCCTTTCCAGGTGTCATGCAGAGGGTGATTTTTGGCAAGCTGGCTATTGAATTAGCCAATGTAATGTGGCAGCAAAAAGCTGTCACTAGATGGAGATGGGAGCAGATCTGTACCTTGGTGTGGGAGTAGACAGTTACCAGTGTTCTGTGCTTGGTTTACCTAAGGGAACCTAAACAGTCACTATTAAAACATGCAATTGCCCAGGAAAATTTGAAATCTCTTTCTAAAAGTCTTTGCATTTTTCCAGCCTCTCTGGCAGCTTTCTCCAGCACTATGCATTTATGTACTTTTGAGCTTAATTTTAATTTCATTTGACTACTTTTGATACATTAGAGCACAAACAAGTCTTATTTTGTGATTTTTCAAAACTAGATAAAGTTTTATAGGCTGTAGATATTACTTACAAGATAAATGCTTTGGCTGTTTGGAAGTCAAGCGTTAACTATATTGAAAAGCTCCACTTGTGTTCTGATGCTAAGTGTTTTGAATATGGGCAATATGTTCAGTCCTCCTAAGGCAAACTCATACTTTAAATCATTATTCAAAAGTAGTTTTGTGTGTTATCTCATTGAGTGTTTATCTTGCAGGTAAAGAGAATGATCTAAGTGGCTGAATGCAGTAAGAGCTGCTGCCTTTCTAATTTACTGTAATCATGACCTTGACATAAGCTGAGCTAGAGGTGGCCCACATCTGCTTGAAATGTTTTTAATTTTAGAAGTGTTTTCAAATGTCACAGGCAAGAGAAAGTTCAGAGACAACATGTCTGTAGGGCTATGTAGTATTTAGTTTTGAAAGCAAGCTCCATGAGTCTAGTGTGACCTGTGAATTACTCGCATAATGTGCTTACGTCACTGAACTCCACAGTCCTCCTCCTTCTCACAGCACTTGACATGACTATTTTTATAACTATGCTGAATTTTTATTTGTCTTAGATCTTTGGTATCCATGGCAGCATCTGTGGGAGCAGTAACAAAACAGACCCTGTTCCCTCCTCTCATGCCTGCCGGGCGACCTTTCCGTGTGTCGAATGCCTCCCGAAGCAGCCGGAAAGGAATTGTTGCAAGCAGTCTGCAAGAGCTCATCAGCAAGGTATAGCAAACATTCCCGTTCTGGCTGAAACTTACAATGAAGTGCAGTATCCCAGAAAGGCAACTCACAGACTCTTGTTCTTCTAAAAATCATTGCTGGGGAAGTTCAGGAGAATATGTCAGATAAGCAAGTCTTAATATGAAATGATGGGCCCTCTTTTGAATGCTAAAATCTACTTGTTTTTTGCAGACTTTAGATGCCTTCCTTATATCTGCTGGAATAGTTACTCTGGTTTTGGAGGAAGATGGCACAGTTGTGGACACAGAAGAATTCTTCAAGTCCCTGGGTGATAATACACACTTCATGGTTCTAGAAAAAGGACAGAAATGGACACAAGTAAGTGTTGACTGCCTCTCTTTCACTTGAATAGAAGTGGATGGAAGAATGTCTGTGGCTGCTAAAATTGTTGGAAAGAGAGAAGAGGAAGAAAACTTGCCCTAAAGAAGGCAAGGTATCAGCTCCTTATTGAGCCTTCCTGGATGACAAATCAAGTTTGTTTTCTTCGTTCGTTTGGGGCTTTTTTTGTCCCTTGCTTGGACATAGAACTGTTGGCAAAGACGTGCCAAAAACTGAAATGAAACATTACAACTGAAAAGAATTACAGGGGAAATTCCCTGCTTTTGGAGAGCCTCAGAAATAATTTTGTTCTTGAGCCTTTTTGTAACATAAAGAAAAGTAGGACTTTGGTTGCATGAAGATAAAAATACAATGTCTTTAAAGGTTAGCTTTTAGAGGGGGGAAAAATGCCCAAGTTAAGCAATGTAAAATAAGTTTGGCCTCATGAATGCAGTAATAGTTTAGTGAAGGTTAGAAAAATGTCTGTGTTTAATCTTGCAAACAGCTAAAAGTTGTCATCAAAACCTAATGTTAGTCTTCATGCTTTAAGGTATTTTAAGAACTATTACGATCAGCTAGCTTTAGCCTTCTAGTCATGTCAACTCAGTGTCCAATTTGTGGTTTTGTGGGGGAATAGTCGTCTGTACGTTGATAAGATAGTCAAACTCCTAATTGTCTTTCCATGAAATGGTTGTTGCTAGAAAGCCAGCATCAAAATTTCTTCTATCAGGTGCAGAGCTAGCTGAGGAGCTGTGAGCAGGCCTACCATTTTTCTGTTTGTACATGGATAGCTCAATCGTGTGGCCCCGTTTTCTCAGTCTCCTGTTGCAGTGTGGGCAGTTTGTACATTGTTTTTTTTTTTCCCCAAGATACCTCACTGGCTTATCAACCTGCTGCATCCGGGCCATGAGCTCCAAGAGCAGAAAAGAAGTTGCAGTCAGGGTTATGACTCCATCTTGCTCCTTCTCCCTCTGCCCTATGGTATGGCAGCAGAACAAGTTTGAATGCTGCCCCTCTTCAGGATGTGCTGAATGACAGCAGGACTGCCACAGCTTCACAGATCATCTGGAGTGTAGCACAAGCTCTCTCATGCTTTGTCCAAATATTCTGGGTGTTAATGGGGAGGGATACACTACCAAGCATACCGACTACTTGTACATGTCCAAAACTGTTGTTGATAGGGGGCCCTGTTCCTGGAGCTCAGAGGCTATTGAAGTAAAACAGGCATAAAATTGCTGGCTAATGATATACTGCAGTGTTCAACTTGATCTGACTTACTATGCCACTGTCCGAGTGCTGGGGTGACAAATACAAAAAGGCCCAGTCTTGCACAACTTTATGGCTTCATTTAGCATGCAAAAACCAGCTTGGAAGCTGCCAAATCATTAACCTTGAGCAGAATGTGCTGAGCAGAGTATCCCATGTATCCACTAGATGTCTCTGTAAATATGGGTCATCTACTATTTTCTTTTTTTATTGAAGCCAGTGTCCTGAAAGCATCACTGTGAGTCCGGAAGCAGATAAGGGCTGCTTTCAGTAAAGGAGGCTGCATTTAAGGTGGAAGGTGACTTTCCACGCTCCTCTTCCTTTGCTTTTTCTCATAAAAAGTCAGTATTAAACCCTAGGCCTAATCAGTAGTGGTTCCCTCCCCATGTTGCTTTTTTAGTAGGAAGAAAGAGGTGTTAGGAGCCAGGATTTCAAATGAGGACCTGACTTTTCACAGATGTCATCTTTGCAGCTATCTCTTAAGAGTGCTCATCAGTATTGTGTTCCTTCCTAAACAGAAGGACCTAATGTCATCCTGGTAATTTGGTGGCGTGTTTCAGTGTGGACTAACTGTGCTGCCTCAGCTAGCAGCTGGAACATACCAGGATAATTAAATGGCAGGAACACTCTCCAGTGGCATTACCTGTGGCTTCAGTATACCCTGAAGAAGAAGCTGTATTATAGAAAAAAATATTCAGGAGGTGCTGTGTCACTCTGGAACTTCTGTGTCTGTTTGGAATAGCTTCAGAAGCCTGGTCAGGACTTGAACGAAATTGCATAAGCTGCAGACTTGCTTTTCTCTGTGCTAATGCTTTTAATTCTAGTTTAGAATTGATTGAGAACTAGCCCAAAGACTGGAATAAGCAAGCTGCTTCTAAAGAGCTGCACTGTTAATGATTGTCCTGCTGTAGTTTCCTGGCTCATGGTACAAACTGTCTCTCTCCCTCTTTTTAAATTAGACAAGAAATGGAGTTGCTGCTGTGAGACAAAAGAAGAAAATGGGAGTAGCTAACATCACATTTGATCTGTACAAGCTGAACCCTAAGGATTTTATTGGCTGCTTAAACATCAAGGCGACCTTCTATGAGATCTACTCTGTCTCGTATGACATCAAATGTATGGGAGCAAAAAGCGTATTGCGGTAAGTATGTTTCCACTACTGACCAGGCATGTATGTGTTAATGTAAAATCTGTGTTTGCTTATTGGTTCTGTGAAGCAGGTATGTTTATAAACTTAGTATTTTTATTAATTCTTACATACTGGCCAATATGCTGGCTCTTCCTGTGTAAAGTGGATAGCTGACTTGTAAAAACTTGCCATAGCTTTTTATGGTGGAATCTTCAATTTCCCCCAAGGCAAAATCTTATCAGCTTGTATTTACTGCAAGGGTGTAGGCGCAGCAGCCTCTTCGTTTTCCTGAGGGAATTTCCCCAGATTCCTTTGACTTGTTTGAAGCATGCAGGAGGCTGAGGAAGAAGCATCTGGACTCTTTGAAGGGGGACTTTAAGGGGGTGAAATGAGAGGAATTTGAGATCTAATGGCGGAGTTCTAAAGCTGACTCAGACTTTGCAATACCTGGCTGCCAAATTCACCACCTGAGCTACGAAGAGGCAAAGGAAAACAGAAAGATATATGACAGTCCCCACTGTCTTCATGTGAATTTGTCATCTGTAGTAGGACTGTGTGACGTCGCTGTTTTTAAGCCAACTGGTTTCTAAGCAAACTAATGAAGCCTAACAAGGACTGCTGTCTCCTGCAGGACCGATCTGTGGTGGGTTGCGAGTTTGGTAGAACTGGCTGTTGGGAAATGCTGTCTTATGTAGGGGCAAAATAATACCTGTCCTGTCCGCCACTTTCAACAGCGTGTTGAAAGCCTGTGTCAAAACCAGCTGCGTCTTGCTGTGGTTGAAGAAAACTTCTTCTGAGTTCAGACTCCTTCACAGAGGTGCCATGCTTAGACAGCTGTTTAAGCTGAAGCCCTGAATTTCTCTACCTTTCAAATTCTGGTTGAGACACAGTGGTGTAGTGTTCCTGCATTTTATTACTTGAGGACCAGATCTGCTCTGTACGGAACAGACAGATGTATATGCCTGTAAGTGAGGTTTTCACTTCTCCTGAGCAATGTGTAGTCCTTCCTTTGAAGTCTTCAAATAGTCCCTCCTCTCAGGATGCAGGTATTAAGCATTGTAATGCTAATCTTGTTCCCTGTCTTTCTGTCTGACTGACCTCTCCCACTCTACTTAGGTGGTCCCTTGCTTAATCTTTCAGGCTACGGCTGGTGTGAGTGTAGATGAGACTCATCTCTCTGGTCATGCTGCAGTGATTATCCAGCTATATGCTATGCCCACCTGTAGCACTGGCTTCATTAGGATTTCTTCAAAGCAAAGGCTTACCCTTAAGCAGCTGCATTCCTCCAGTTGCTGTTTGTCAAGTCTCTTGAGCCAGAACAAACTCTGATTTCTGGCTATCTGCTATGGAGATGAGTATCAGCACTGGAAGTTGCACTGTTAAGGGGAATTTGAAGTGACAGTTCTGCCTCCCTGCCGACACAGGGCTGCTGGTGAGAAAGAAAGGGTACTGGCAAACAGCTGAAGTAGCTGTGAAGTTCTTCTAGAAGCACTGTTAAGTTACAGAGTTGAGCTGTAAGGGATGTGCCAGTGCCAGGGTGGGGAAATAGCTTGCTGGCAAAGAACAAGGGTGACAGAAGAGATAACCTTGGGTACTCTTGAACACAACAGTGAGATGGCCTGTCTCAACTTGCTACTGAAATTGAAGACAGATGATGTTAGGTTCTTGGTGTAGTCCCTCTGCTAACGAGTTCCAAATTGCTAACTCTGATGCCCTTTCCCCAAGCCCACCTGTGCAGTGTGAAGGGAAAGGACTTTAAAATGCTGCAGTTGTTCATTGGTGGGAGGGGCTCAAAGCCTGCCAGATCTGATTAGTGCATTTCCCCCTAACAGTTTCTCCCTGTAGTGTCCAACTGAAGGATCAAATGTCCAGTTCAACAAATAACTTCCTCCATGGCTTAAGTGACAACTGCTCTCCTGTGCAAGTGACACACTACAGCTGCTCAAAAGCTCGGTACCAGGTGCAGCTTGCTTTGTAACTGTAAAGCTCCTTGGCCTGTACTATCTGGTGGAGGGAAGGACATACTGAAATGGCGCATGTGTGGAAAACATGAATAAAGATACAGTGGTTTTTTTTTTTAAAGGCTTCCCAGGCTCTAAGGACAGGGTATTCTACTCTTTTGAAGCACTGGATTTTGACTGCAAACCTTCTTTCATCACAGTGGAAAAAACTGAATTTGTAGAAAGAAGAATTTGCCTTCTCTGCTAGAGCTCAAAGCAGAAGTGAATAGCAGTAGAGGGTTCACAGATGCATGTTTTCTCAGACAGGAATTCAGAAAATCTTCCCTCTTTTTTGCAGAAGGGGAAGGCTGGTCTGGTTTCTGCATCTTCAGAAACTGATCCCTTTTCCAGTTTTGGAATGGTTCCAGTTCTTGTGTACTACTTCCCCAATGCCTCAGCTTCATACTTGTGGGGGCCTGCTTAATTTTTGGGGGATGAGACTTGACTATGGCTGTCAGCACTGATGTCCCAATTGTTTCTTGGAGAACAGAAGGAAGAAGTTGAACAAATGACCACTCAAATATGATGATCTCTATTCCCCTGCGATCCTGTGGTGATCCACAGTCTATATTGTAGACCTCTGATGCTTGCCTGATCTTAGTTTATGGATCTGTACTGATTCTCACACCATATTGTATGTTTGAATGCTGATACTTATTAAAACTTTAAAAAACAGAGTAGTTGTGAACTGAGAGTTCTTAAGGCTTGCAGCCTGGACAGTATTAATTCGCCTGGCTTCACTTGTTTTGCTGTTGAGCATCCACTGTAATGTGATTGCTCAGCTTCAGATCTAATCAAGTTTGATCTGTAGCTTGGGGATACATGCAATGTTGTATTAGCGAGTGGCCTAAAGGTGAGACGCGAGGTGGATTCATGCTGCAGGA